TTCACCCGCCCAGACATAGGTAGAATGAGGCAAGCCACACCCTGTTCCTAAGGTCCCCGTGTGGATTTGTAGCAATGCTCTTTGCAGAGGCTGGACAGTGGGTGGGGCAGGGCTGACAGGCTTGGCCATCACCACTTGGCATGTGGTACCCACACTTGTCCCTGGGCCGATAGTGCTGTACACCCACCGCCTCACCTCCACATGTTCGCTCTGCTTGCCACAGTGCCTCCCTCCCCACCCCTGCGGTGAAGACTCTGCTGTGGGAGGGCATACGAACACTTCCTTTCTGAGCCTCTTCACTGAGCCTGGGCATGATTTGCCCCATGAATGCAGAAACCAGGCTGGCTTTGAACTCACAAAGTGAGTGTTGGGACTAACGGAGTGCACTACCACACCTGAACCTTTTTTTTTTTTTAAAGACAGGGTCTCACTCTGTACCCCTGGCTATTCCTGAACTTGGAGCAATCCTTCTGCTTCAGGTCCCCAAGTACTGGGGCTCCCGGGGTGCCCACCCACAGTGCAACTGGTAAGGCAAGGATTTTGAAAACTGACTCACGGTCCCACTTTCTCAGATGAGGAGAGAGGCTCAAGCAAGGTGGCTGAGCACCCAGAGCCAGTGGTTGCTGACTGACCTTGCCCACTCTGTGACTCCAGCTGTCGTCTGCAAGGTGACCCACAGGCACGAGTATGGAGTGAAGCTGGGTTAGACATTGCCCAGGTCAGCTGATGATCTGAGTATGTCTGAGGCCAAGTTCAGCATTCTAGTCCATCTGCTTGAGCCATAGCCCTGACCTTGCTTCAAACCACCTGGTGCTCTGACATCCTCTCCCCCAACCTCCCCAGGGTCTAAGGGAAGCACGAAGGAAAAGCAGCCACAGCATCCAACCTAGGAGGGCTGTCTGGCGGGTGCGGTGGGAGCTTGGGGTGCAGCCAGGGCTCTGGCCCAGGGGCACTGGCATTGTGTTTGGTCCAACAGCAACCCTCAGAGATGTCTGCTGTTATCAGCGAATGGTCCTACCCAGGAGTTTAAAGAACAAAGGAACTTCAGAGAGAATGTCGACTCTCTCGAGGCAGCCACCAGGAGTCACCAGCTGTCCTCAGATGGTACAGACCAGGGTCTCAGGCCCATTCTCTGCTGTCCTGGGTGGGTGGGTGGGGACCGCAGCTTTCAGAGGCAAGGGAACTTGGCCTCAACTCCCAGTTGTGGGCGGCAGAGCTGGGACATGAGCCCTGTGGCAGGAAGCGCTCGGTCCTGGATGGATGGTTAAGTCCCCAGCCCAGGCTCCTGTACTACTCCATCTGTTACACATATGCTTGTCACCAGTGTTGGCTGTCAGGACCACAATGAGGAAAGTATTTCATTAGGACCCATGTGCCAAGGGCTGGGGACTGCTGGCCTGTCCTAGGTTCTGATGTAACCTCTCCAACATTGGCTTAACCCTGTTAACGGGATGCACAGGTGCGCAAACACCTCAGGCCAGCCCCATGCTGGCTGAAGCATCTTTTGCCGAGGCAGTGTCCAACAGAGATGAGTCTCTAGCCTGTGTAAATTGCATGAAGAAATGGCAGGTGACCTGTACCCACTGACCACTCTGTGAGGGACAGAAGCCACTCTGGAAGCTTGGTTGGAGAGCCACATCAGGCCTGTGAGTAGTCTTGGTTTCTTGTTTTTTGTTTTGTTTTTTTGTTTTTGTTTTTTGTGGCTTGAGTCCAAGTCTGCTGTTTATCCCAGGCAGGCTGGCCTTGAACCTTTAAATCTTCCTGTCTCAGGCTCCCAGGCTCTGGGATTATAGGTGTGTACTGCCTTGCCTGGTTTAGCCTTAACTTCCGAAATTGATGGGTGAGAATCGGGAAGTAGACTACCATCTAGAAACTAATCCTGAGCCAGACCCAGGACCCAGACATCTCCAAAGTCTCCCAGAAAGAAACGGGCATGGAACTGGGCTCACAGGACTCAGGGCCAGGAGTCTGACTCCACAGTCCACACAGCGAACCTCTTTCTAGTCCTGTAGGCAGCTGAGCAACCTAAGGTTCCAGTGACACGAACCTGTGAGCCTGGTGTTCAAGCAGCGGAGGCTACATAGTACACACCCAAACTAGAGTACACTGGATCCAGTCACTGGCCAGACTTTAGGGGTGTCAGCATGATCTCCACATAGAAAAGCACAGCCAACGGACAAAGCCACAGTGGCCAGGGTGTTGGACTTCATCTACATGTTCACATACGAGCACAGGTCCCACCACCACAAACAGACTTCATCTACATGTTCACATACGAGCACAGGTCCCACCACCACAAACAAGAGCCTGCTTGCTTCCCTCATCAACAGGCTAGCCGTTTGCACTGACTTCAGTTCTGGAAACTACACCAGAGCCAGGCTTTGGTTTTAGGTGGGTGTGTATTACACTGCAGGTACGTGACATGTCTTGGAGCTTTGCAGCATTTTTCTGTTAGTGGGGACATTGGGGTGTCAGGAGATGTCCCAAGCAAGGGACATGTCTGAGTTATCTTGTCTCTCTGCATCAAACAAGCTGGCTTTTGTAGGTATCATGTAAATCATAAACTTCAAAGCCATGCATGCAATCCTGGTGCCACTTCCTATGGGAAGGGGGCAGAGGGAGATAAATGTCGCTGCTTTTTTTTTTTTTTTTTTTTTTGGTTTTTTACGAGACGGGGTTTCTCTGTATTGTTTTTGAGGCTGTCAGTCCAGCCCGGCCTCGAACTCACAGAGATCCGCCTGCCTCTGCCTCCCCAGTGCTGGGATTAAAGGCGTGCGCCACCACTACCCGGCGATAAATGTCACTTCTGAAAACAAAGCTGGACACATGTGATAACTGCCCAGCTCTCCTAATTCAGTTCTGAAGCCAGATTGTCTGTCAAAACACCATGTCTTTTTGGTATTGTGGGTGTCTTAAGTGGCCTGAGCCATCCAGGCACAGGGCTGAGTACAAACCAGAACACAGTCACCATATGCTCAAGTACAAATTTAATAAAGCCCTGACATGTCTTAGTCCACAAGTTACCTACAAAACCAGAAATCCCACTCCTATTTTGGAGCCACCAAGAGCAGATGGGGTGCCAGTGACTACCGGCTATGACAGACTTGGTGCTTGGATAGTGTGATGTTCTAAGTGCTGAAAACAGGCTTGAAGTGAACTACAGACAACCCTAGGTCAAAAAACAACAGGTCAAGTTGACATTGGTGTTTCTAACCCACTCTCTCCCCATGTCCCCGCCGTAATTCTCAGGCTCCATGTTATTCGTGCAGGATCTGTGGGCAAGCTGAGTACACACATGACTGCCAGACATCTTCCAAGGACCTTGTCATCCTTCCATCCAAGTGAGGTTTGCACCGCTCTCCAGAAGCCCAGGGGCCCTTCCCAGGCTTCCAGCCACAGCTTCTCGCTGAAGTGGGAACAGGACTTGCCCACTTTCCCACAGTGGGCAGGTTCCTGATGGAAGGGGTTTCCATGCTTTGAGCGCTATAGCCCTAAGCTGGCTCCACAGAGTGGAGGAAAGACCAGGACTCCTGGCCTCCAAGAGGGTAGAGGCTGTAAGAACTAGATGAGGCAAGAGACACCGAGTCCAGAGCCTCTGCCTCAGCATCCAGAACCTGCAGAAAGTTCTTAACGATATAAAGGGGGAAAGGAGGGCCCAGGAGCACAATGGAGGGAAAACAGAAGGAGGTCCAAACAAAGAGCGCAGCCAACAGAGGCAGTGCGAAGGCGTACGGGATGCACCTCAGCCTCCCAGGCCTTTCAATGCAGAGGGCTCCTGGGCGAGGGTGCGCTTTGCAGTCCCTGGAACAAAGCACTACCCAGATGTAGGCTCTTGTGTTTCTCCGTAAGGTGACGAGGAAGGCAGACACTCAGAGCCAGTAGGTCCTGGGTACTCCAGAATTGGGGCAGCTCTCCAGGGTGGCAAGTTTCTCTTCTAAGCTAGGACACCAGTGCGCAGGCCAGGAGCTGACAGCAAGGGTTCCCTGACAGCGTGGCCTGCTGAGGACTTGGGAGGAAGGGCTGTGGTGTGGAACACCTGCTCCCCTGTAGGGGAGACCCTGAACTGTGCTTGGCAGCCTCCCTGGCATGAGCTGGGTTTTATTGCCTGGGAAGAGGCTGCTGTGGGCAGGGTAGAGGCAGGGACTCTGCCGTGCATAGAGGCTTGGCGAGGCCTTACCTGAGTTTTCAGAACGGAAGGAGGAGCTCACAGGCATAGGCTGTGTGTACTCAGAGGGCAGACGAAGAAAGCCTCACAGAACCACCAGGAGCTCCTCTGCAGTCGCTAGAAGGCAGGAAGGGGCGCACAGGGGGAAACCCAGGGGCTTATTTTCAGCAGCACTCCCAGCACATTGAGTGTGCCGTGCAGCATCCCCACGCTTGGGCGTCTCATGGCTATTGAGAGAGTCTGAGGACTCAAGTAGGCTGGCCACACCCCTGGGAGCACGGTGCCTCCGGGAGCAGAAGGGCTCTGTAGTCTGGGTGCTCTCCAGGGCAGGTGGGCGGAGACTGGAGCTGGGCTAGGATAGCTCAAAGCCTGTGTTCATGCTGATGGCGTAGCGCAGTTTCTCGCGGAGGACACTTTTCTTGCTGTAGTTGGGCAGCTTGAGCAGGTTGAAGCAAGTGGAAGAAGTGGGCAGACGCCCACCTGGTTCCCGCTTTGCGGATGGTGAAGAAGCCCCTGAGGACACTGCCCAGGGTATCCCCAGTGTCCTGCAAACACACACCACAGCTGAGGGTCAGAAGTGCCTGTGTAGGCGCACAGTAAGCCCAGCTCAGGCCACTGGCCTGAGAGGCTGAGGAGGAACACCTGCTGCTCTGAACACTTGACGGGAGTCCTGTGCTAGGTCCCGTTAGTATTCAGGCATCTGTACTGGCCTGCCCTTGGGGTCCTGACAGGATACGCCTTCAGCTAAGAGCACCACCTATTCACTATGTTCCCCTTTAAAGGGGCCCTGCCCACCTCCCATCCCCCTGTGTGCCCCCCACCCCGTCTCTCTTTCTCTCTCCCGATGCTCCTGTCCCCGGAGGCTGGTCTCCCCTCTCCCCTTTTTATGATCCTTTTCCCTCGATAAAAACCCCTCCACTTGAACTCTGTTCCATGGCATCTGCGTTTTCTCTCAAGCCACCCCCCCCCCCCTTGTAAATTACAACAACCTCAGACTAGGGGCTCCTGGCTAATGGACACTTAACAGCTAACTAAGGCTGCCTAATACCCCTTCTCTGACTGCAGGTACCATGGCCATGGCTGACAAGCACATGGCTCAACTTTTCCCTAAGCCTGGAGGTGGAGGACCATCTAGTGTCTGACTGAAGGGAGTGCAGCCTGAAGAGAGGTGGTGAGGCAGGGACTTGCTGAGACCAGTGGGCTTGCACAGGGTAGGTACATCTGAGCATCCTCATGGTCAGGCTTGTACCACACTGGACACATGAATCCTAGGACATTCTCTCTTAACCTGCAGGCAACAGGCAGCTTGCCAAGGTGTGTGTGTAGCCAGCAGGGGAGGAGCTGGGGAGCAGACCTGATTTGCCCTTATTCTGAGTCTCACCCCTTCTTCAACCCTGCCTCTTGGACCTTGAACCTTGCTAGATCAGCAGCCATGAAAACAGCATCTTAACCACACACTCCCCGAGGCCTTCCCCAAGGAGGGACCTCAGAGAAAGAGTGCCAACAGCCCACACTGGCCTGGGTCTGAGTACCCACTGTGGGTGGCTGTCATGCCACCACGTAGGCAGGGGTGTGGGGGACATGATGGGTATGGCAGAGAACTGGGCAGCAGAGAAGGAAGGAAAGGAGCGTGGCCTTAGGTACCTGGTCATCCGACACTTCCACACAGCGGATGGAGAAGGGAGGCTTGAGGTAGGCGAATCCCAGGAGTGGGGGTCTGGAGCAGCTGGTCACAAACTGCAATACAGGGCGGGGTCAGTGGGACGGCAGGAGTCTCTTGCTGTACAGCCAGCTGGGCTTTGCCTCCATGTGCTGCTCACTGACCTTTCACTAGAACTAGGGGTGACAGGGAGGTGCTTGCCCAACGTGCCCAGAGTACATTACATGTCTCAAGAGTGCCACCCTCTGGAACTAATGCTAATGAAACCGTGGTCCACTGTACAAGATTGGTGGCTTGTAGGGCAACTGGGAGTGACATGCCATGAAGCAGGTCTCCTTTTATGCTACTGTTTGACACAGGCACTCCTCCAACCTAAGCTGGCTTTCTACATGATCTTTAGCTGAAAATGTCCTTTAACTCCTGGTGTGTAGCACCATATAGTTTAGAGCAGTCTCTAACTGCACTGTCACACAGTGAGCAGCAGCAGGAACAGACTAGTGACCTCTGTCCTCAGGGAAGACAGCAGTAGTAGCATCTGAGGGAGCCTAGGTGAGCAGATGCTAGTGCTGCCCACGAGCCAAGGCTGGAGGCAGTGAGTCCTGGTAGAGCCTGAACCCATGACCTCATGCACTGGTGTGGTACACACATGCACTGATGCACACTACCACCTTGCATGCATGCACTGGCATGAATGAATGGAGCCTGTGTGTATACTGGTTGGTTGAAGTGGGTGAAGGCCTCCTCAGCAGGAGGGAACTGAGTTCAGCATGGCCAGCCAGAAAGATGACCAGCTGTTGGTTTGGTTGCGTTCAGCATGGCCAGCCAGAAAGATGACCAGCTGTTGGTTTGGTTGAGTTCAGAATGGCCAGCCAGAAAGATGACCAGCTGTTGGTTTGGTTGAATTCAGAATGGCCAGCCAGAAAGATGACCAGCTGTTGGTTTGGTTGAATTCAGAATGGCCAGCCAGAAAGATGACCAGCTGTTGGTTTGGTTGCGTTCAGCATGGCCAGCCAGAAAGATGACCAGCTGTTGGTTGGTGATCACACCGCACTGTCTTCACGATAGTGGTCATACAAACTCACATGCACAAGCTGTGTGTGACGGCACACATTTGTAAGACCAGCATTCAGAGGTGGAGACAGGAGGATCAGGACTTCAAGGTCAGCCTTGGCTATGGGTTTCATGGCAAATCTGAGAGCATCTTGGGAAACCTGAGACCCTGCCTAGAGAGTGGGAGGGCAGGAAGGAAGGGGGGAGGGACTGATGGGGGATGTTCTCATGTATGATGTTAATATGTGTTTCTCTTATTGGCTGACAAATAAAACACTGATTGGCCAGTAGACAGGCAGGAATTATAGGCGGGGCTACCAGACAAGGAGAATTCTGGGGAGAGGAGGCAGAGAGAAGCAGGCAGGGAGATGCCATGTAGCTACCAGGAAGATAGGACACTGGGCATTCTCTGGTAAGCCAAAACCACATGGAGATACACAGATAAATAGAAATGGGTTAATAATTAAGAGAGAGCTAGCCAGTAAGAAGCTCAAGCCATTGGCCAAACACTTTACAATTAAATTAATCCTCTGTGTGTTTGTTTGGGCCTAAATGGCTGTGGTATTGGGTAGGAAACAAACTCCATCTACAGAGGCAGAGAGAGACACAGAGACAGAGAAAGTGTGCAAGCCAGCCAGGAGGCCTTAGGGAAAAGATTCCAAGGTGTTAAATGTACTCCTAGATTATGTCATTTCAGAGAGAAAGCAGTGGCAAAACCATGATGCATTTTTAATGACAATCTACCCACATATAACAGAGACAGGCACGTGTGTCACTCAGTGTCCTATGAATGCTTACATTAGCAGAGGTCACGCATCAAAACCAACGACACCCAGGGACATAGTAGACACTCATGTCTTCACTGATACTGGGGCAGCAAGCAGTTAATGACACATACTGTATTTGAGAAAGTATAAATAAGCCAGGCATAGAGGCAACACCTAGAATTGCAGTACTCAGGATGCCAAGGCAGGAGGACTGCCCTGGGTCTGAAGTAGGCTAGGCTACTAAGTCCAAGCTGGGTTACATAGAGAGAACCCGACTCAACACCTGTACTCCCTCAAAACAAGACACAGTGCTGTCAGTGTAGACAACCGTGTTTCCTTGAGACACTGTCTGTCTGTGCACGTGTGTGATGCATGTTTTACACCACTGAGAAAGGGTGCCGGGGCTAGTCCCTTATATGGGAGAAACTCTATGATGGAGCAGCAATATTTAGGATTGTCTCTTTCTTTCTTTCTTCCTTCCTCCCCCCCCCCCCTCTTTGGAGGCATGGTTTCTCTGTGTAGCTCTGGCCGTCCTGGAACTTGTTTTGTAGACCAGGCTGGCCTTGAACTCAGATATCCCCCTGAGTGCTGGGATTAGAGATGTGCATCACTATTTTAATGAGACAGTACTGAAGATGGTGGAGCAAAGTGGCACACGGCTTGCTCCAATTGAGAGCACACCAGGCCCCATCTCGCCAGTCCCTTTCTGGTGCCTCAGCCTTTGGCACAAGAGCAAGGCTATGCTGACACTGTGTGGCCCTCTACTGTGCTCAGTGTGAATTGCAGAGTGGCCTGAAGACTGTGCACATCCAGGAATGCATACAGAAGTTGTAAATGAGATACCTTCAGGAACATGGCTCTTTCATCGGGCGTGAAGTCAGAAGCCAGAATATCCCAGAGCCAGATGATGACTCTGTGGCTCCCATGAAAGCCTCCATAGTACACCGTGTGCTTCCTGAAAGTAATCCAGAGGGGGGCTCAGCAGTGTGCTGGCCCTCATGGGGACAGGCAGGCAGCTGCACTGACACAAGTTCACATGTCACAACCTCATCCCCTGGAAACTAAATGGGCAGAGCCTCCAGAACGGCTCCGCTGTCAATCAGGGTACCACTGCTGGAGCCTCAGAGGGCACCCAGTCCACAGTGACCTCCCAGAAGAACTCTGTGTTAGACTAAGCCCAGTGAGGGGAACAACTCTCCTTTAGAAGGCCTGAGCATGTCACCCTTCCCTCCTCACTGCCCCTTACTTTAAATCTTCCAGATCAATCTCGGCGTTGTCCCCAGAGATGAGACGCTGAAGCTCAGGGGTAGAGAACATTCGGATCCACTCAGGCTTAATAATGGAACGGAAGCCACTAATGAGAGCAGCTGTCTGGTTTTTGATTTGCGTGTGCATTCGAAAATGTGCCATCAGATGGATGTAACTAATTCTGTTAACAAGAAAGAGAAATAATGGAACCAATAGTCCAGGGCCGGCTGCCGCCAGATGGGGTAAGAGATAAGCCTAACTCTTGTGAACCATTTTCCAAAAAACAAACCACATTCAAGCAACTATCAGAAAAATGATGGTGATGCCCAGGATGGTAGCTCCCAAGTCACAAGATAGCATCAAGAGTCAAAGGCATGGCCTTGTTCACTTGTCCCCACGGTCCCCAATATAACACCATGGGATGACCCCCCATGTTCTCAGGAGTTGAAGAGCCACCTGCACAGGTGAATCCCGTTTGTTCACTTTCAAGGACACAGCTTAGTGCTCCAACAGCTTCACATTCAAAGTTCAACTAGAGCCCGTGGTGCTAGATGGGCCCAATGTCCTCTGAAAATGCAGCCGTACCATTCTAAGGTTAAACAGGGAGGTCAGGTGAACTAATTGTGATGGGCAAAGGGTCTTTGCTTGTATCTCATACACCCTGATTTAGCTCATCTACAGCCGCAGGCTGACACTCCAGCAAGCTTGCCGGTGTTCTTGATCTGTTGGCAAACATGCCCGAGCACACTGTTAAAAACTCCATGCTGCACTCAGGAGGCAGACGCAGGAGGACCTCTGAGTTCTAGGCCAGCCTGGTCTATAGAGCAAGTTCCAGGACAGTAATGGCCACACAGAGAAACAGTCTTGGAAAAACAAAATAAAACAAAAACCCCCATGTTAATTATAGCCCAAATATTTCTGTTTTGCCCCACAATGCCCAGGTCAAAGTTACTGACCTTAAAATAGTTCTAGTTTAAAAATCATTCAGCAATAAACATGATATACTAATACATTGCAAATGTTAATTTTTTTATTATCTCCTCCTTCCATATATTCTATGAAGCAGGTTACCAATACTGTGTGTGTGTGTTTGTGTGTGTGTGTGTGTGTGTGTGTGTGTGTGTGTGTGTGTTAGAGAGAAACTTCAATGCCCGGAAGCCTGGGGGGTAAGCAGATACTGCCAGGTTCCGGAGTCACGTACAGGACTGGGAATCCATGCCATATTCTAAGGCTTCACCATAGGCCAGAGTTATGACACAGTATCCATTAGGCTTCATGGCAGGGTAAGAATCTTGTTCCAGCACAGCCTGCACACACTCACTCACCTCCCTGACCCTTCAGCCCACATAGATTCATCTCCCCTGGCCTTTTAGCCTGTGTGAAGTTACCTTTGCTGACTGTTATTTGAGTGCACACATGCACACACACACACACCACCACCCTCTCTACAGCTCCCTGACGGTGGGCAGATCTACAGGACACTTCCCATATCTGCTATGAAAAGTTTTATGGCCCCCTTTCAGCTAGATATTTCAAAAAGAGGTTCTATACATTATTTCACACTCTGCCCCATGAGGAACAGTCACAGGTCACACACAGGCAGGACTAGGTCTCACCCCTGCACCAAGGCCCAAACCTCAGCCATCTCCTCTTGTTATAAGTTTTCAAGCGAATGCCTTGTGGCTACAAGGCAATGCTGATGTGTTCCAATGCTGCTGACCACTGTCTGTTCTTCTCAATGTTAAAACACAAAACTCCCCAAGCACATGGGCTACCAGACTAGCTGAGTACACAGGAACAAGGTGCAGGGGTCTGCGCTGGGACCAGGCGGCTTGCAGGGACAGAGCCATCTCTTGTCCTCATCCAGATGAATGCTTAGACAAACAGTTCAAATCCCGAGCAGGGGTGGCAGAAAACTGACAAGAGGCCCAGTGCCCCTCCTCCTGCCAAGTTCCACCCCTTTAATTAGGCAGGACGGACTGGGTGCAGACCATGTGTGGAGGGGTTTGTGTCTGGGATCAAAGGGACTGACATTATGACAGAGTCCTAAAAGCACATTAACTGTGGCAGGAGCTGCTGCATCTCAGCGCGTCCTTCAACCCCCACCTCTAAGTACGTGTCTGCCACATCTGCATTCACACTGTCCTCATGAGAGCAGCCACACGGTCACTCTCAAGTGTCCCTGCCCACCTGCCCTCAGGACAGCATCCTAAGCTGCTGAGGCCCCAGTCCCTGCTTCGGTAGGGTTATCACTACATTCCTAACAACAGTGGCCAGTGCCTCTGACCTTCCAAAGTGCTCCTGCTAAGAGCAAACCATCCACTCTTATTTTGCAAATTGAATTTAATACAATTCCAGCCTATGAACTATAACCAGAAAATCCCATTATGATATTTATGGCCTCTTCCCACCTCAATCTATCTTAATAAATTCTCAGCATAACTCCGGGAGCCAGAATGAAGTCTTTTCAAGTGCTGACCTTAAACGTCCAATTGCTATACTCACTTATTTTCATTTGTAACAGGAATGGTTTTCCCTCCAGGAACCAGTTCATGGCAGACAAGCTAGGGGAGAAGATGGGAGTAATTACTAGGGAGAATTCTAAACAGTGAAGATGCAAGGGCCCAGCACAAATGACCACCATAATGATGGAATTAAGATGCTGTGTGTTTGGGAACAAAACCTTGGGGCTGAAACATCAACAAGCAGGATTCATGTGATCCACAGGAAAGGTTTCTCATCTAATCCTTGTTCAAACGTGTGCACTAAGGATGCTGGATGCTGGGCACAGAGGGAGAAGTGCTGAGGGCTGCAGTGAGGTGTGATTAGTGCTGAGGGCTGCAGTGGGATGGGAACACCCACAGGAGACGTGTTAGCACTGAGGGCTGCAGTGGGGTGTGAACACCCACGGGAGACGTGTTAGCACTGAGGGCTGCAGTGGGGTGCATGGTTTCTCCAGAGCAGACCCTGAGGCTACATGGACAGAGAGCCTCCCGCAGGGACACAGAGGCGCGGCAGAGGACATGGGAGAGTCGTGCCAGGAAGTGTGACAGGAGCAGCTTCTGCCTGCCGGCCTCCCTCTAGGGCCTGTCCTCTGCTCGCGATGACACTGTGACAAGGGTTTGACCCCTTAGAGGATTTCTCCTCAGGTGCTGTCCCTCCATTTCAGGTCAGAAACCTCCATTTGTACAGCCAGTCCTCAGCAGGGATGTCCATACTGAGGCTCACAGCTTGCCACAAACTAGAACAGGAAGACTGGGCGGATGCAGAGTCAAGTCCCGTGACACAGGCTCTGTGGGAGCTGGCTGAGGTGAGTATGCAAAGGCCAGGCTGGTAGAGAAGAAACAAGAAAACCTCCCTCCTGGCCAGGTGACAGACATATCCTCGGTGGGCAGATTTCTGAGGGAAGCCCCATGAATTGGCAAGTCTTAGGACTGGAAGAAGTCTGCCAGATCAGCCCACATACCTGACCCATGACGTCTTCATCGTAAGACAGTGTCAGCCCGAGGTCAGCGATGTCTCCATCATAGCGCTAATGGAACAGAGAGAAAGCACTGGGGCTTCTGTGGGCGGAGGTCTTCCCTCCTCGAGGTCACGGACAGTTGCGATGCCCCACCTCCAGGCAGAGGCCGCTTGTTGTGTATGTAAGGGCTGTGAGCCTCAGGTGTGGGGGGGCCTGAGGGGTGGGGTTGGGGGCTGTTCCCGTGACTAGAATGGTGGATTCACACTGGTACTCACTCAGTTACCAGCCACTCAGCGCTCACCTTGATGGAGGTAAGGTTTTTATAAAACTCTGAGTCCAGTGACGGGAGCTCATCCACAGAGCTGTAGAAGATACTGTGGTGATGCCCGAGCATCTGGCTCAGGAAGAAAGAGGCAAAGGGCACGTCCACCACGATCCCCTAGAAGAGACAAGAGGACAGGGATTCAGCCATCAGCCAGGGCAGCTTGGGCTTCAGAGGTATCCTGAGGGTACCAGTGGTGTCTAGGTATCAGTCTGGAGCTGCACCTCCCCGCCATCTAAGAGATGACCTAAGGAGGGGTCAATGTTCTTGGGCAGAGGCCCTGGAGCCACAGCTCAGTGGACAGGCGGCTCCCACAGCCTGGGTGTCCATGGACAGCAGAAGCTGTGAGGGCTGCCATGAGTTCTGAAGAAGCCCCCACTACCGTGGCCCCACAGGCCCAAGGAGCAGAAGCCAACAAGTCCTGAGATGCAGACCTAGTGCCAGTTACAGCCCTCACCATGGATGAGATCCCACTTTACCGAAGAAGTAACAAGCTTAAAGGAGGAAGGTATCAGGTGCCCCTACATTGAGGCTACACCCAATCTTTCTGCTAACTCCCAGGAAGCTCCGTCTTCTTCTGAAGTATTGTCCCAAGCAACAGATTTCAGGGCTGGAGAGATGGCTCAGCAGTTAAGAGCACTGGCTGTTCTTCCAGAGGACCCTGGTTCAATTCCCAGTACCCACATGGCAGCTCACAACCATCTGTAACTCTAGTTCCATGGAATCTGCCACCCTTACACAGACATACATGCAGAGAAAACATCAATGCACATAAAAAGTAAAAAGTAATCAAATAAATGTCAGCACTCGGCTGGGGTGTGTCAGCGGCAGAGTGCTGACTAAGCATGTGAAACTGGGTTCCATCCTCAAAACAAACCTCTCACATGCCACCTCCTAGATGTCACTGCATGTTTTGTTTTTTTAAACAGTTTTTCAAGACAGAGTTTCTCTTTGTAACAATCCTAGATGTCCTGGAACTCGCTCTGTAGACCAGGCTGGCCTTGAACTCACAGAGATCCACCTGCTTCTGCCTCCCGGGCCCTGGGATTAAAGGCTGTGCACCGCCACCACCCAGACCATGTTTTTCTTCTTTTGGAGATAGGGTCTTGATATGTATCCCAGGCTGGGATTACAGGGTGCCACCATGCCCAAGTCTCAGGCATCCCTTCACATTTGTTCCACACTCCTTGAGGGCCTACCTCATAGACAGCCTTTCCCAGCATCTTCCCCACAAACTCGAAGAGTTGCAGGTAATTCTCATGGATGTAGGATGTGGGCGAGGGATAGAGCCTCTCATCTCCACTGGTTGTCTGCCAGGAGAAAGGAGGGAGAGGTGGAAGTTACGAGCCGTCCCCACTCCACATTGGTTCCATGTCCAGCCGCGCCCAGCCCCAGCCGTGCCCCCTTGACCACCTTGAACAGATTGAGTGCTGGGTCAAACACCCTCTTGATGATCTCCTCCAAAAACTCCTTAAAGACACCGTCCTGGTCAATGCCAGCTTCATCCACCCCAAGGTCGTTGACGAACTTCACTCGGATCACACCCTTCATAGCATGCTGGGACAGCTGTCGGAGCTGTTCATAGCCATCCTACCAAGATAGAATTTCAACTCCTGAGGAGCACAGCTCTAGCAAACCCAGGAGTGTAACCATGCAAGTCAGAATACCAGCCCACAGGAGGATTCTTTTGATGGATATGATGTCTCACTCCTTGGTATGAGGAGACTGCCCCCAGGAGGACATTGAGTCAGATGGGGAAATTATAAAGAATTGTGCTAGCTCTGGCCATCAAAGGTGGAGGAAGGGACAAGATGGATCTCTCTTCTTCTTTAATATAGACTATATTTCAGCTCATGGGTAGTCAGGCTTACAAGACACAGTAAGATGAAAACCCTGGGTCCTGGTGCTGAGGGCAACTGTGGGGAGCGGGCGGGAGAAGTCAGAGCAATTGGGCTGGCTTTCTGAACCAGAAAGGCCTCTGGCAGCAGAAATACAGCAGCAGAAGACAAGGTGGGAGCCAGAGCCCCGGTAAAGTGCTGATGCTGGATCTGTATGAGGGTAAATAGGGAGAGTGATGGGGGGGGAGGTCTAAGCTTTGCTAGACTGTGGTCAGCTCCCTCAAAACACGGCCGTTTGTGGGGTGTGGCTCTGGCAGAGTATGCAGTAAAGTGTGCTTAGCCCACGTCAGGCCCTGGTGTGGGCCACAGCTCTGAAGCTAAGAGCAATAAATGCAGATAGCAAATGCACATCTCCTATTCAGAGCCCCCCCCCACCCCCCACACATTCCAAGTCTACTACAACACACGTGTTGGTTAGTTCTGTTACCTTGACATAAGCCATGGTCATCTGAGAGGAGGAAACCTCACCTGAGAAACTATCTCTATAAGGTCTGTGTAGGCTATTTCCCTAATTAGTGATGGGTGGGGTCATCCCTGGGCTAGTGGTCCTGAGTTCTACAAGAAAGCAGGCTGTGCAAGCTATGGGGAGCAAGTCAGTGAGCAGCTCCCTCCATGGCCTCTGCGTCAGTGTGGTGTTTGATCATAGCAACAGTGACCCTGACTAAGGCCGAGGCCTCTGGGCTCTTGTCTGCAGAAGTTTTCCTGGCATCTGACCATCACTAAGTGTATCCTAGGGCCTGGGGAACTGAGGTTTTTATTCTGGAGCAGCAGTTATATTTAGCTGATATGACAGTCCACATCCATGGCATCTACTCATCCATCCATGTGCTGTTCTGGTCGCCTTTGACACAAAGCCCACCAACAACCCAGCAGCACATGAGCCCTATTTTGGGTACCCTTGGTGCCCTCCTGCCATGCTTAGTGATGCACAGGTCCCTCCTGTGGTGAGCCAAGGAAGAATGACCCATGTCCCCAGGCCACCTGTGGGAACAGAAGCCAGCTGTGGGCATGTCCACGTGAAAGATAAGCACACTCAGGAGGCTGAGGCAGAATCGCTGTGAATTCGAGACCAGCCCAAGTCACAAAGACCAAACAAAACCACCCACCTCGAGAACAGTTGGGATGAAACCGGGAGAGTTGTTACTCAGCTGCAGCGGCACTGAACGTACCTTGAACCTGCACCTGGGCGTGACCCACCCGAGGATGCTCCTGGTACCTGAGGACTTCTCTCTCTTCTCTTACAGCCTGGCAGAAGGTGTGTGGCTGTTGCACCCTTCCCCCATGGGGGTCGGCTGACCAGCTTGTGACTAGGAGCTTCTAGCAAAATACCTCTGGTCCCCTCCTTCCAGTTAAGCCTGAATGCAAGTTCCTGTTTTCTGTCCATCCTTATTGTCTAAATGCTAATTCCTATTATTAGCCCATCCTTTGCCAGAGGGCCCTGGGAACATAGGCTTCTGACCTTAGTGTTTTTCCACCATGCCTGCTACTGGTATATAATGCTCCGCTCTTGTTAAAATGAAGGCCATTCTCCTTGCAAGAATGAGCCACTGTCTTTGTCTTCGTTTACATCCTTAGCCCTTGGCCCGATTGTGAAGTGTTGTAACTGAGTAACCGCTATAAGCGACATTGGGGGACTGAATGGGATGGCACATGTGGCTCTTAGCCAGCACGCGGCAATGCTGGATGTAGACTCATCTCTGCTCGACCTGCATCACACTGGTCTCTTCAAGGTTGTTAGACGACTGTGCCACCTGCCTCCTCTGACACACCCCTGCCCCATGGGCACCGCTGTGGTCACGTGAGGCGTACACTCCACAGGACAGAGTCAGTGTCCTTTCGGGGGTCACGGCATGCTGAATTGGAGGATGGTGAACTAGGTCAGGTCACCAGGCCAGGCTGTCACCAGTACCAGAATCGGTTAGATTCAAAGTCTAGGTTTACATGGCCTTGGTTCTGCCTTTGACAGGGCAAGGGGTGAGGGGCACGCAGGGTGTGTCTGAGTTTTCCCCAGTCCTGGTTAGCTAAATGACAGACTAGTTCACCTGAAGAAGGGGTGTTTCTGTAGGATGGTGAAATCTACAAGCACGGCCTCACATCTAAGCCAGAGAGGCATCAGTCTCTTGATGTCCCGTGTCCACAGCAAGAAAAGGCTTTGGGCACTCAGACCCCAGGCTGGTGAGACCTGGAATCTCAGAATAAATGACGCCAGCACATTCCAAGTCAGGTTCACTACAAAGAAGGCTTTCATGGAACACAAAGAGGAAAACTGGCTTTGCTTAAGTTAGAGAATGTCTCCTGTGACTCCCCTGAGGGGGGCCTTAGCCCTGTAGAGCTGGTGCTAGGTGACCCTCCCTTCAGAAGTGCACTTGAGGGGGTGCCAAGGAGCCTCACTTCCTGTACACACCACAGTCCACACCTCCCAATCCTTCCAGGAGGTGGGTGCCGTATCTGACCAGGGGAGGACAGATTCCAGAGACAGGGCAGCTACACCCGGTTCTGAGAGAGAGCTAGAGACGCTTTTAACACAGCTGAGTGTGTGAGTCAAAACAGAGGCTACTGGTGGCCACAGCTTGGCCTTCGAGGCGCCTGACAAAATTTAATTAGTTCACAATGTTAACAGGTCTGAAGCTTTAGCATAAGACCCTGAATTTGGGGGTCTTCTCTTAAAAATGTAAAGCCCTCTGGAACTCATATTTTGCAGGATGTGAACCTCAAGATTGCATTATTTACTGGAAATACCCGTTTCTAGTTGTGACGTGTGGCTTAGCCCTAGCACACACTTTTAATCCAAGAGCTTTCTGTTTATTGTAAACAGGATTAAATAAAAACAACCGCAGGTCAAGAGGTACAGCATGCAACCAGTTGACAGGAAAAAAACCAAAAAACAAAGAGAGTCAGGAGATGGATAGAGACTCACAGGAAGTAGATGGGAGGGACGTTCAGTTTGAGGTTTTTTGATTGAGATGGTGAAGGAGAAAGGGTGTTTTTTTCAGGGATGTTGGCTGAGGAGGAAGGTCAGCTGGGTGCTTTCTCTGCTTCTCTGAGCTATCAGGCTTTCACACCAGCATCTAGCTCCAGAATCCTTATTGGTAAATCGAATGATTGAGATTTATATAGAAACAATGCTCACATGTTCACATGGCAAGTCTGGAGACATTGAGCAGATGTGATCTTTGGGGTGACTGATATGTCACCTTCTTGCCCACCCACTTCCCCAGCACTGAAACCAGGTGTCAGCTAACAGGTCCCTCCCTGCTGCCTGTGGCAGTTATCTTCCTGAGGAAGTCAGATGAGAGGGTTCTATTCGAGAGCACTGGGCGGGAGCAGTGGGAGTGGAAGAAACTCTTCCTTGTTTAGCACACAAACCAAACACCCAGCCAACCCTGCTGGTACATGACCTTATTTCTATTTTTGGGTCAGTGCTGGGGCTGGCACTTAGGGCCTCACGGATGCTAGGCAGGTGCTCTACCACTAAGTCACACCCCTAGACCCTTACCTTTAAGAAGGTAAAATCATCAACTGTTGTACATGCTACTTTTTGAACAGCTCCTAAACACCAGAAGTACTGGGAGCTACAATAAGTTATCCAGCAAGCAGTGGCATCAACGGCAAACATGCTACCAGAGCGGGGCTGCAGCACATGCGGGTGGCTGGTAATGCGGCTGCCACGCACAGGCAGGAAATGCAAGCAAGAAAGGGTGGACAGAGCAGCAAAGGTCTGAGGACAACGTGACAGTGAATGAAGATGAGCCCGACTGAGAATGGAGGCTTGACTGGGCGGTGGTAGCCCACGCCTTTAATCCAGCCACCTAGGAGGCAGAGGCAGGCGGATCTGTCTCTGAGTTCCAGGACAGTCTGGGCTACACAGCGAAACCCTGTCTCTGGGGGGGAAAGCCAACAACAAAAAAGGAAGACTCGTGACTCGTCACTGGCATCGCTGGCAGACACACGGGAAGGCTGTGCACTATACAGCCTATGGGGTTGCGTGGTACACAGACACCACACACACCACAGGTCCTTCTGCAATGCCCTAGCAGTGCAGTCGAGGAGATTTAAATCTCTGCTTCACAGAGGACACATCTGCGCAGGCTTCCACAGACCTTTCTGCTCATCTCAAAACATACCAAGACATGGTAAAAATGTGACAGAGGCAAAGTGCTTAAGGACAGGGCATCTGCTTCTAACTTGGGAAGTGGCCACAGCGCGGCACAAGGTGTGGCTTGTGAGGGTGACAGTGCTTGCATCTCCTGTTGTTTCCAGAGACCTTGAGCTCTGTGAGGAGAGTATGTGTGTGGCTCAGGCAGGGTAGTGCCTGCACCATCTGTATCGCATCCTCAAAAGTGAGCCTGGGGACACGGTGGCCAGGACAGCAGAATCAGCACAGACCCGGGGAAGGCATGGCGGTCACTGCACTGAGCTCCTATGCTTGTCTCACAGAAGTGTTAGGAGCCTGTGTTTCCCCAGGGGCCCTCACAGGGCAAAGGAAGACACTGAGCACATGCTAGGCTGAGCAGATACTCTGTGCAGCTGATTGGCTAAACGACCCTTCATACCAGAGTTTTCATACCAGAGTGACAAGAGTCTGGAGGCAGTAGCCATCCGCTAGATCCACCCGAGAGATCACTCCTCACTGCATGTGGCCACTCACCTCCAGCATCCGGGACCTTCGGATAGTGATGTGAGTGACATGAGGGGAGGCAGAGCTAGTTTCCACAAGCCCCAACTTCTCTTTCTCCTTGGTAACCATATTTCGGAACAGGAGAACTCTCTGAAACGAGCAAAGGTGGGACCAGAAACAAGGTCAGCAACTAATATCAAAAACAAAGCAAACAAGACTCACTATACAAAATGACCAACGTTCAAGCTAACTGAGACGGGATGAGGACAAGCTATAGTTCAGAGGTGTCCCCTGAGAACAGTGAGCATCCTCCAAAGAACCTCAGGGAACTAGAAATACAGCTAAACTTGCACCAAGACAGGTATGTTTGAGAGAGGTGCCTGGCCAGAGCTGGAGTCCAGCTAGGACTAGTCCATTTTAGGACCCATTCTCACAGAGTCAGTAATGATCTCAGAAGCCCAGGGGCACAGCCAGTCACATGGGGTGGGGCACAGCCAGTATCATGGGCTGGATTTGATAGATGTGCCTACTCTAAAGGAAATCAATATCATGAACTTCAGACACAAAAACCATTAGAGACAATTTTTCCCATTGTCAGATATAAAAAATGAGCCTACAGTATAAAGATCCCTGCCTTTCTGTCTGCCTCCTGTGTCCTCAGGCCTGCCACAGTAGGTTTTCAGTCACCACTAGGAGAGAACCCTGCCTCCTCAGCCTCAGGATTCTGACAAACGCCTTTACTTTATCACGAGATAAGTACAAGACTCAGTCTGGCCTCAAGCCATGTTCTTGGCTTCCCAAGTAGCCGGAAGCACATGCACGAGCCAGTGAGGCCAGCAAAAGACCTTTCAGGAAGGATCGAGAACACAGGCCCTTGCAGCACCACAGGTGCAGGGACTACAGCATCGCAATGAGGTCAGTTGACTGGGCGAGCACAGGCACCAGTCACAGCTGTGCTTTCAAAAGTGGAGCTGGGCGTGGAAGAGACAGCATGGTTCTTAAGAGCACACAGAGGACCCAGGTTGGTTCTCAGCACCCATAAGCTGCCTGAGTAAGACAGACCACCACTGTGTGTGCAGATGCGTGATGCCCTGCAGACATTTCCAATCATAACGGAGAGCAGGCAGCAGCAGGATGTGGGGCAGAGGTCAACTCACGTTCTTATGAGGAACAACATGGGGGATGTGCTGCAGGATCAGCTGAGCCCTCTTGCGGTCCCTGTCAAGTTCCTGGAAGAGCACGCCAGGTTTGAGATCCCTGCAGGAGAAACACAGATGTCACCAAACCAGCTCATTCCTATGTGCATGGTCAGTGGCTGTCTTGAGGGCCCCACAGCAGAGGGAGTGTTTAGGGCAGAGTTTGTGAGGCCCTGCTCTGGTGTCACAACTACAACCATTTCCTGAGGTCTGACAAGTCACTGACAGAAATGCATGGGGGAGGCCTCGGGCTTCACCAGCCCTTCCCCACCCGGCTCACTTTCGCAGCCAGTGGTCCTCAGGAGCAAAGCGCCTCCGGCAGTCTCGCTCATACAGCACCATCAGCCACCCGTGGACAGACTGGAACAGCTCCAAGGTCTCGCCCTTGGCATTCTCTGTGCAGTAAAGAGGAGAGGGCCAGATCTGGAGGGCAGCGCTCAGTACGGCGGGCCTGAGCTCTTGCACTCCACTTCAGTGTTCTAAATGTCCCTAGGGCCTGGGTTCTTTCAGGGGACTCACTCATGCTGCATCCCAAGAATGCACCATCCAAAGGCCCCTTTTCCTCTAAGGAGCTT